TGGAAAGATGTCACGCTTGGATTTTTCAAAGTAATGAGGATGTTTTAAAGGCGTGCGTAATCTTACTCCTCATTGTGTATGCTGTTCTAAGTGTGTGTATGATAAGTACCAAGTATTAATGGCCGGACTTCTGCTGCCCATCTTTTTTGAACGCTCTGAGAGAAGACTCCAAATCCCGCAGAAGTGGGTGGGGCTTCATGTATTATAAATCGAAGCCAGGGTACTCCCGACTGTTGATTAGCCTGATGTGAAATCCTGCATTCCCAAAATGGGCTTCCGGAGCCTAGGGGGAAATTCACAGTGCTGTGAAATGGAGTGTTTTGGAAAAATTAATGGTTTTGAATTAGAAGGACAGTACAGATGAGTTGGTGTGAACCCAAGCCAACACAGAAGCCACCTTCTGAATCATATCGCTTGTGTTTTGTCACATCCGAGACTACCCAGTCAGGCTGAATGAAGAATGGAATAATGCGTAAGCTTACCGAGAAGCTAAGCGGGGTGAAAACGTATGCGTGAGGGGAGGGAGTAGACCTTCGCGGGGCACAGAGCAGAGATACTTCAAACAAGGCCAACGACGCATGGACAAAATATGTTACTGATCGGTGAAGAATGGGCTCCTGGGGTGTGTCCAGGGGTGACCCTTCAGAGGCACAGAGCCAGCCACAATATTCCATCTCATTTCATCCCATTTTCCTTTTTTTTGGAGAGGTTTTTTTGTTTGTTTTTGGTTTTGTTGTTGTTTTAGCTATAGCGCACGTGTCTCGCCAGAAAGACAGAGACAGAGAGACAGAAAGCAAGAAATCACCCCCTGGCGGGGGATGGCCACACCGCAATCCCTTCTACTCCATTCTCCTCTTGGGATCTTGGGCACGCATGCACATGCGCCTGGCCCGAGTTTAAGCCACCTGGACTGGGACTTGAACCACAGTTGACTATATGGGAGTCCAGCAACATAGCCATTACACCAACTGCTGGTCCCTCATTCCACTTTCATAATAGAAATAATTCCCTCCGCCCCAGAAAAGATTCATGGAAAATTGCAGTTGAAGACAGGGTCGACAAGAGTAGAAGAACTAATGTCACATAAAGAAACTGAGACAGTAGTCACACCAGAAACCCAGGCTAAGAAGGCTGTGACAGTTGATGAAAATTAGTTCTAAGCTTCCTTTTCTAAGAATTAAAGAAAAACACGGGACTGTCTTGTTCTTATTATCTGAACAGAAGAATTTGTCAGTCGAAAAGTGTCCCAACCTGCAGGACAGTTGAACAGTAACCTGGGGGAGGGAGTGAGAAAAGGGACAAACTCACACAGACACACAGAGTGGAGACAGCTCTCTCTATATATCTCACTGGGGTCCCTATGCTGCTCCTTTTAAGCAGGGCTATTTCTGTTCTCAGGAGTAGAATATATGTTTCTAAAATGGATGGAATCCTAGAAAAACATGGTAATGACCAAGCCATGCCAATCAGCTATCATCTTCATACTCTGAAAGTCTAATTGAACTAAAATACTCAAAGCAGTAACCAGAAATCACATACAAATGACAAGTTCATCACTAAATTACTAAAAGTTTAGTATTGCACTAAGTTTTTATCCTCAGCTATAAAAGTGTAAGAAGAATGTTTCAGTCTTTTCTAGGTACTACAAGCAGATGAATGCTATCTGTTTCCTACATGAAATGTTTGGGAAGAACAAATAGTTCAAGTCCAAATAATAGTTCTTCAAAGACCTCTGGGATTTAAACCAATTCCTGCAGCACATTTACTAGATTCTAATTCCTTACTCATCTGCATCCCAGTTGCCTCACAGTTTGAAATTTAATTGCAAGTGAAGAGAAGCTTCAGTCCATTTGTAGTTGGCTCAGAGACATTTTTAATAATGATTATAGACATAAACCCTATGTGGACAAGTGCTAGAGAGAGCCAGCATGTGGAACCTTCTCCAGCAACTGATATCAAAAAGTGCCTGTAGCCATAATCTCCCGAACCGCAGGATAGGCGAACAGCAACCTGGGGAAGAGAGTGAGAAAAGGGACACACACGTACACAGGCACATAGAACTCTCACAGATACACAGAGTGCAGATAAGATGAGGTGCTGATCAAGTCTTCAGTTTATTGAGGAAGAATGGCGAGTTTATATACAGGCTGGTGGGCATTGATTGGTTGCCCGAAATGCAAATAAGGTATTATAGCATGGACCAATCATTAGTGTCCCAGAAGCTGCCCTAAATGCAAATGAGGGATTCTAGTTCAACCAATTGGCGAGTGTCCCACAACTGCAAACAGGCGTCGAGCCAACGAGAGGCATGTTCTCTCTCCTGTTGCCTAGAAACCTATCCACCCCGCGGGAAGAACAGTTGGTCACATGGTTTCTGGGAAATGGTTTGCTCAGTGAGGAAGTGAAAGTGAAACCCAAAGGCTTCTAAGATGGCGGATAGCTCTTAAGATGGCTTCCGTATGCAGTGCCCTCCACAGAAAAGTACCATTTTCCTATGAGCGATTGTGAAAAAGGAATTTATCAACTGGGTCTTTGTTTGGAGGACACTAGGAGCCCGGGTGGTGGCACAGCAGTAAATCCCCTTAGTCCATGAGGCTGGTCCACATGGGGAGGCCATAGGTTCCAATACAGAGCCTGCCTGGACACACCAGGCACATGCGTGCCCCTGGCCCAGAGCTGGCTGAGACCAGGGGGATGGCGCCATCCAGACCCTATAGGGCGTGCCTGGCTCTGTCTTTCTCTCTCTGTCTTGCTAATGGAAAAAATAAGGCAATAAACTTTTATAAAAAGGATGCTAAATAATATAATGGACACAGCTTATAATGGCGGGTTTAAAAGAGAGGTTCATTGTGGCCGTCTGGTCTTTCCTTCGGAGTAAATGCAATCAGCTGACCTACTCTCTGGTGCTCGGAAGATACTGCCACTGGGTGTTGAAAACTGTCATCCAGGCCCAGCCGTGGCCGCGCACACCGGGTGTGCTGCTCAGCGAGCAGAGGCCACACGGGACTCAGGTTCGACTCTCGTCTACCCTGAAAGCCAGGCACGATGTGCACCTGTAATCCCAGCTCCCTGGGAGACTGAGGCTTTACGGTGAGACCCCGTCTGGTTTTGTTTATTTTTTAATTTGCCAGAGGGCACGTGCATGTGCTTGAGAGAGAGAGCGAGAGAGACAGAGAGAGAAAAAGCACCCACAGTGGGGGGTGCTCATGCTGCAATCTTTTTCCCGCCATTTCTCCATCTCGTTGGGATTTTGTGTTTGTATGCACGCATGCCCAATGTGATTTTTCAAGCCACGGGAGCCAGGATTCCAACCACACGGTTGGCCATGTGGTATCTGGCTCCCTTAACCATCAGGTCAGGGGGCTGGCCCAAGAGACCCTTTCTTTAAGGGGGGGGGGTATGTACGTGTTGTGTGTGTGTATCTATGTATTTTTAGATCTATCTGTAGAGACAGAGAGAATGTGACATATCTAGGGAAAAACAGGATTCTCAGACCAGAACCAGAACCACTGTGCCGTTAAGTTGCGCCGGTTTGGGAGCCTGCGTCTAGGCTTGTTAGTGTAGACTTGGACACGCCTTCGCTGGTCTCATGCTCCGTCTCCTTTCTGTTCGCCCTCCGACCTCACAGAGTCCTTTTGAGAGCGCTCATCCTCCACTTTGGCTCTAATGAAGGGGAAGTCAGACAGGGAACAGGGTGGGTCCCCACAAGGGGACCCATTTTGCACAGAGAGGCAGGGCGCCCATGGCACTTGGAGTTGGTCACAAAGACCCCGACTGTCCCCAGGGAGACCCTTCAGAGCCATATCCTCAGAACACCTCGTTCCGCTCTTGCTTCTCTGAGCAGGCGATAGCGTTTCAGTTACCCGTATCTAGGGAAAGCTCTTTTTTTTGTTTATTTTCCTGGTCCACGTATTACATTTGGGTCAGATCATCAGGGTGATTGTGGAAAATAGAGGCTAGTGGCAGCTCTAGGGTTAAATGCAGAAGCCCTGAGCCATTGATGATGAGATCTGTAACATTCCAAGAGACAGAAACTGCCCCCACCCCGGCGCGGACATGCATCCACAGCCTCAGCATGGGGAGAAGGGTTCTGGGGGGGTTCCAACTCTGACGACTGTTAGCAGTGGTCTGAGAAACAGGCTAGGGGCCGAGAAGGACCGAGCCTGCGATGCTGACTCCAAGTGTTAGAAGTAACAGAATGAAATAAAAACCTAATTTTTTTTTTTAATTTTGTTATTTAAAATTTTTACTTAATATTTTTTTTAGAGATTTTTTTGCCTTAGGTTGTGTGCACTCGCTGGAGAGAAAAAGACACAGTGAGAGAGAAAGTGAGAAATCACCTCCGAGCGGGGATGGCCATGCTGCGTCCCTTCTCCTCCATTCTCCTCCCAGCATCTTGAGCACACACACACATGTGCCTGGCATGATTTTCAGGCCTCTGGGTCCAGGACTCAAACCGTGGGCAGCCATATGGGAGTCCAGCAATGGGTCTGCTACGCCATCTGCTGGTCCCAAAATCTGAAAATTTTTTAAAAGAATTATTTAATTTTATTTATTGCCATTTTTTTCCTTGAAGTTAACAAGAGAGAGACAGAGAGAAGGAAAGTGAGAAAGCAAGCCACCAGGTCCAGGACTTGAACCACGGTCGGCCATGTGGGAGTCCAGCCCCCCTAACCACCACACCACCTGCTGGCCCTAAACCTGAATTTGTTTAAAAAATGATTTAACTTTATTTACTTATTTTAATTTGACAAGAGAGGGAGAGCGAGAGAAAGAGAGAGTGTAAGTAAGAAAGCAAGCTGCCAGGTCTGGGACTTGAACTATGGTCGGCCACGCAGGAGTCCAGCGCCCTTAACCACCATGCCACCTGCCGGCCCCAGAACCTGAATTTTTAATACCAAAAAAAAAAAAAAAAAAGTTTTTACAAAGATTAAAAATAGTCTGGGAATAAAAAAGTCACTTGCGGAAGTTCTCTGACCATTTCTCTTCTCTTGTTTCAGATGACAGTCATGTCCCTTTCCAGGGACTTCAAGGACGACTTTCACAGTGACACAGTGCTCTCCATCTTAAATGAGCAGCGCATCCGGGGCATTTTATGTGACGTCACCATCATCGTGGAAGATACCAAATTCAAAGCCCACAGCAATGTCCTGGCTGCCTCAAGCCTTTATTTCAAAAACATCTTTTGGAGCCATACCATCTGCATTTCCAGCCACGTCCTGGAGCTGGACGATCTCAAAGCTGAAGTGTTTACAGAAATCCTCAATTATATCTACAGCTCCACGGTTGTCGTCAAGAGGCAGGAAACAGTCACTGATCTCGCCGCTGCGGGGAAAAAGCTGGGGATCTCATTCTTGGAAGATCTCACGGATCGCAGCTTCTCCAATTCGCCGGGTCCCTACGTCTTCTGCATCACCGAAAAGGGAGTGGTTAAGGAAGAAAAAAATGAAAAAAGGCACGAAGAACCCGCCATCACTAACGGGCCCAGGATCACAAATGCCTTTTCCATCATCGAAACCGAAAATAGCAATAGCATGTTTTCTCCACTGGACCTGAGGGCAAGTTTCAAAAAGGTCTCCGACTCCCTGAGGACGAGTAGCCTTTGCCTGGAGAGGCCCGACGTCTGCCACGAGGCCGAGCCTGTCCGCACCCTGGCCGAGCACTCCTACGCGGTTTCTTCCATCGCCGAGGCTTACCGAAGTCAGCCCGCACACGACCGCGACAGCAGTTCGCCCGGTCAGACAGGGAAGGAGAATGGCGAAGCTCTCGCAGCAAAACCGAAAACGTGCCGAAAACCAAAGACGTCCTCCATGCCCCAGAGCTCTGATCCCACCACGGAGAACGGGCCACCCCCTCCAGTGACCAACTCCAGCTCGGAGGTGAACCAGGAACAAGGCCCACAGCCAGCTGCAGTTCTTTCTCATGCAAAATCTTCCAACAATGAAGGAGATGTCCATTTTCCCAGGGAGGCTGAAAACCTCCAACCTCCGGAAGTTCCCGGGCCACCGGCAGCCGAGGTCCC